CTGACTGACTGACTGACTGCAGCTGACTGACTGCAGCTGACTGACTGACTGACTGCAGCTGACTGACCGCAGCTGACTGACTGACTGACTGAACCGGCAAGCATGCTTTTCATAGACTCTGAGTATCTACGTTCTCTAAGAATACAACAACGGACTACGAATTGAGCATTTGGTATGTGGACGTATGAGAGAGTGGCATATTGTAAAGATGCAAAGATGTAAAGTCAAACTTACACCAGAATCGCGACTTGCCCGGGACAACATAAGACTGAATACACTCTGCCCGAATGCTCGGAACGCGTTTCGTTGCATCACAATATAATCTTGAATATTCCGGTAAGTTTTGATTATTTGGTTCACCAGTTCTTTGGGTTGGATTGTTGCCACAAATAAAAATATTTGGGGTATCTGAAATCCAAGGTGCGGATGGGAACACAATTTTCAGTGTCTGTTACAGCACAGTCAAAAACTGCTGGATTCAGAACTAAGCCATCACTGAAAATAATTGTATAGTAAATCAGTAACCCCACCTTATACATAAGCATTTGTTTTATTTCGGAAATAATGGAAGCACCATGTGAGAGAACAGGGAACATGTGAGCAAGAGATGTACCAAACTTCTCGCACAAGAAACGACACCGCCTTACATGGAAACCGCCAACCTCTTCGCAGCGCTGAACCTAAATCGACCACATCGCTATCGGTTACCACTAGAGGGGTTCGGTACAAGACTGTCGCTCTTGCTAATTAACACCTGTGGATACGGACCACGCTTTGCTACGAGCCAAATTCTCCTCACACATGGCAAACAACCGTAAAAAAGCCGCCGACAACAGATACCCAAAATATAACGTCAGCAATTGTTGCAAATCAGCCTATGAAGCGGAACTCTGCGATCGTCTCTCATTTCCACCACCAGCCGAAGGACTCAATAAACACCGGAAGCAAATCAAGAAAGCTATGCAAATATTGATAAAAACAACGTCAAACCCTCGCGCAGGCTCAAAACTCAAACGATGAATCTCATCGACTTCGGCTGCCCTGCTGGACGCCCGCAGAACCCTTCCTCCTGATGCCACATACGACAGCGCGCAAATCCTTCAAACGCCGGCTCATCAAGAGTCTGGAGAATGACCGCGAGAAGTGGTGGATAAGAAAGTGAAGAGAGATGGAGGAAGGTGTTGCTATTAGTAATAGTCGCAATCTTTTCC